ATTTAAGAGGATTTGAATTATATAAAGCATGTCCCTCTGATCACACAACAGGATGGATGTATATATGAACTCACAGAAACAAGACCTGCACAAGTCCATGCCAGACAAGGTCCCAGCATGGAGATAATGAAGTGGAACACAGTGTCCCACTCCTAACCAAGATGCTATTTGAAATTTATACCTTCCAGGAAAAGGAAAATCAGTTATCTCCAATGGGGTATCACTGGCTATATTAATCACCCTTCAGGGCAGACCCCATGCCCAGGAAGAGTTTGCCAGCAAAAAATGAACTCTTATGTGTGTGTGTGTGTGTGTGTGTACTTTTTGTTTTGGCATATTTTGTCTCATTGGTCTTCTGCTCTCTTGTTTTGATTCTGTTTCTTTTGACAGAGGGTGAGAGAGAGAAGATAAAGTTGTTGGGTTGGGAGGTGCGTGGATCTGGGAGGAGTCAGAGGAGGGAGGAAAACTTGTAATTAAAAAATAAAAAAATAAAGTAATAAAAAGGAGGAACTCTTGAGACTGAGGTAAAAATTAGAAAAGAAAAAACGAAAATCAGAGTGCTGAACTCTAGCACTTCAAAAGCAAAACTAACCAACCAACCAACCAACCCTACTACCACCAAAAAAAAGCCAAGACCCCCCCCGCCAAAAAAAAAACAAAACCCAAAACAAAACAAAATAAAAGAAAACTAAAAGCTAGCTAGGCACCAGAAGAACATCATGCATCGACTTTGACTTCCACGGATGAATTCTGTAAAAACTCATATTTTTACAGAAAAATACGTAGCATCAGCTGTGGTAATGTCTGGCTGTTTAGGGGCCAGCTAAGGATTATGTGGACACCGCCCTTTCTTTGTTGAGCCCAAAGATTCACCCTTTGCATTGGGATTCTGTGGAGGAGCATAGTAACACTACCCAAGGTTTACATCATGATTAGGATTGCCTCAGTGTTAGCCAGAGATAAAGATTGGATATTTCCTTATCATTCCTGGGCATGCTTGCAGTTCCATCTCTGTGTGGACTTTTAGAGCTTTCAAGGGCTTCCCAGAGTCTTCTGTGTCACTGTCATCACCCAGGTTTCTCTTTACTTTCACCATATCAAACCCATGCACTGGAATTTTCTTCACCCCAAACTAATACCATTGTCTTAAATACTGATGAAGTTAAATGATTGGGGCTGATTGTGAATGTATCTAACTTTTATTTTGACAAAATGATGTGTGGCTAAAGCTTTTACTTTCTCCATCCAGTGTAGTTCTGACTCAGGAACTAGGCAAATATCAGTTCTTTGGGTCCAGTTCATGCAGGGAGCTTCCAGCCATGCCTGTTAATAACAGTTCTTCAGAATTTGCCAAGGAGACCCAAGTTTAGTTACACCCCTCCATGGGGTACTGTCAGGCGGGTTAGCATAACTATCAGAATCCAAGACTACAAATGTGTAAGGCTGTCCCATAGCCAGAGAGGAAACAGTGAGAACAGAAGAGCACATCTCAGCATGGAGAGCTTGCTATTGCCTCTGAAACCCAGCATTTCTTTTTTTTTTTAATTTTTTTAAAATTTTTTATTTAACTTTTATTAATTACACTTTATTCCTTTTGTATCCCCCCATAAGCCCCTCCCGGTCCCACCATCCCCCCCTCCTTTCTGCATGCATGCCCCTCCCCAAGTCCACTGATAGGGGAGGTCCTCCTCTCCTTCTTTCTGATCTTAGTCTATCAGTTCTCATCAGAAGTGGCTGCATTGTCAGGGTTCTAGGTTATCTCCATGGATAGTCCTTGGTTGGAGTATGAGTCTCTGGGAAGTTCCCTGTGTTCAAATTTTCTTGTTCTGTTGCTCTTCTTGTGGAGTTCCTGTCCTCTCCAGCTCTTACTATTTCCCACTTCTTACATAAAATTCCATTCACCCTGCCCGTCAGTTGGCCATCAGGCTCAGCATCTGCTTTGACAGTCTGCAGGGCAGAGGCTTTCAGAGGCCCTCTGTGGCAGGTACTGAGGTTGTTTCCTGTTTTCTTCTTCTGGCTTTCAGAGGCCCTCTGTAGCAGGTTCCTAGGTTGTTTCCTGTTTTCTTTTTCTTCTGATGTCCATCCTCTTTGCCTTTCAGGGTAGGGATTGAACATTTTATTTAGGGTCCTCTCTTTTGCTTAGTTTGTTTAGACGTACAGATTTTAGTGGGTTTATCCTATGTTGTATGTTTATATGAGTGAGTATATACTGTGTGTGTCTTTTTGCTTCTGGGACAATTCACTCAGGATGATCCTTTCCAGGTCCCACCATTTACCTGCAAATTTCATGATTTCCTTATTTTTCATTGCTGAGTAATATTCCATTGTATAGATGTACCACAGTTTCTGCATCCATTCTTAGGTTGAGGGGCATCTGGGCTGTTTACAGCTTCTGGCTATTACAAATAAAGCTGCTACAAACATGGTTGAGAAAATGTCCCTATTGTGTACTTGAGCCTCTTTTGGATATATACCTAGGAGTGGTATGGCTGCATCTTGAGGAAGCGCTATTCCTATTTGTCTGAGAAGGAGCCAGATTGATTTCCAGAGTGGTTGTACAAGTTTACATTCCCACCAGCAGTGGAGTAGGGTTCCGCTTTCTCCACTACTTCTCCAGCATGTGTTGTCACTTGAGTTTTTCATCTTGGCCATTCTGATGGGTGTAAGGTGAAATCTCAGGGTTGTTTTGATTTGCATTTTCCTAATGGCTAATGAGGTTGAGCTTTATTTAAGTGCTTCTCTGCCATTCAATATTCCTCTACAGAGAATTCTCTGTTTAGCTCTGTTCCCCATTTTTTAAAGTGGATTATTTGGTTTGTTGCTTTTCAGCTTCTTTAGTTCTTTATATATACTGGATATGAGTCCTCTGTCAGATAAAGGGTTGGTGATGATTCTTTCCCAATCTGTAGGTAGTCACTTTGTTTTGATGACGGTGTCCTTTGCTTTACAGAAGCTTTTCAGTTTCATGAGGTCCCATTTATTGATTGTTGCTCTTAGAGCCTGTGCTGTTGGTGTTCTGTTCAGGAAGTTTTCTCCTGTACCAATGAGTTCTAGGGTATTCCCCACTTTTTTTCTAGCCGATTTAATGTGTCCCGTTTTATGTTGAGGTCTTTGATCCACAAAACTTTAGTTTTGTGCAGGGTGATAAATATGGATCTATTTTCATTTTTCTACATCAGACATCTAGTTGGACCAGCACCATTTGTTGAAGATGCTATCTTTTTTCCATTGTATGGTTTTGGCATCTTTGTCAAAAATCAGGTGTCTATAAGTGTGTGGGTTTATTTCTGGGTCTTCTGTTAGGTTCCATTGATCCACCATTCTGTTTCTATGCCAGTACCATGCAGTTTTTATAACTGTTGCTCTATAGTACAGCTTGAGATCAGGGATGGAGATACCTCCAGAAGATCTTTTATTGTAGAGGATTGTTTTAGCAATTCTGGGTTTCTTGTTATTCCATACGAAGTTGAGAATTTTTCTTTCCAGGTCTGTAAAGAATTGTGTTGGTAATTTGATGGGAATCGCATTAAATCTGTAGATTGTTTTTGGTAAGATGGCCATTTTTACTATGTTAATCCTGCCAAGCCATGAGCATGGGAGATCTTTCCATTTTCTCATATCTTCTATATGTGGGGATCTATATGTGGTTTAATTTTATCAATGTTTCTTTTACAAATATGGGTGCTCTTGTATTTGGGGCATAGGTGTTCAGGATTGTGATGTCTTCTTGGTGGAATTTTCTCTTGATGAGTATGAAGTGTCCTTCCCCATCTCTTTTTATTAATTTTGGTTGAAAGTCTATTTTATCAGATATTAGAATGGCTACTCCTGCTTGTTTCTTGGGTCCATTTGCTTGGAAAGTCGTCTTCCAACCTTTTACCCTCAGGTAATGTCTATCTTTGTGCCTTAGGTGTGTTTCTTGTATGCAACAGATTGCTGGGTTTTTTTTACGTATCCATTCTGTTAATCTTTGTCTTTTTTACTGGAGAGTTGAGTCCATTGATGTTGAGAGAGATTAATGACCAGTGGCTGTTAGATCCTTTGATTTTGATGTTGGCTGTGTTCATAAGGTTGTGTGCTTGTTTGCTTTTTGTTTTACTGTAGTAAGGTTAATTATTTCCTGTATTTTCTTCAAAGTAGCTAGTTTTCTTGGGTTGTATTTTCCCTTCTAGTGTCTTCTGTAATGCTGGATTTGTGTGTAGGTATTGTTGAAATTTGTTTTTGTCATTGAATATCTTGTTTTCTCCGTCTATGAGGACTGAGAGTTTTGCAGGGTATAGTAGCCTGGGCTGACATCTATGTTCTCTTAGGGTCTGCATGATATCTGTCCAGGCCCTTCTGGCTTTCATAGTTTCTGTTGAAAAGTCAGGTGTGATTCTAATGGGTTTGCCATTATATGTTACTTGGCCTTTTTCCCTTGCAGTTTTTAGTATTTTTTCTTTGTTCTGTATATTTACTGTTTTGATTATTATGTGGCAGGAGGATTTTCTTTTCTGGTCAAATTTGTTGGGTGTTCTGTAGGCCCAATGTATTCTTATTGGCCTCTCCTTTAACTTGGGGAAATTTTCTTCAATGATTTTGTTGAAAATATTTTCTGGGCCTTGGAGAAGGGGGTCTTCTTTTTCCTCTATACCTATTATTCTTAGGTTTTGTCTTTTCATATTGTCTTGGATTTCTTGGACAGTCTGTGTCAGGAATTTTTTAGATTTAACATTTTCTTTGACAGATACATCTATTTCTTCCATTGTATCTTCTACACCTGAGATTCTTTCTTCATGTCTTGTAGCCTGTTGGTTACCAGTCTTCTTGAAGAAACACTTTCTGGATTGTCGCAGACTTTGATTAATCAGTTCCAAAACAGGGAAGGTTGTCAATTTCTCTACTGTTTTCATTGCTTTTATGTAGATTTTAAGTTTTTTTTTATCATTGCAGAAACTCTGATAGTCTGTGTTCTATAGGCTATTATTAACACCTCTCTTTTTTTTCTTTTCTGCTTTCAGAAACACTGGAGGTAGCATCTGTAAACTTGCCCATTCCTGTGCAAACCCAGAATTACTATAAGAATATTTCTGAGAACAAAGAGATTGTAAAGTTAGTATCTGTGCTCAGCACAATCATCAACTCCACCAAGAAGGTATGTGTGTTAACATGGGTCCTGGGCTGCCCAGCAAGCGCATGCACGAACTCCATCATAAGCTAACCCTGCATGCATCCTGATTTCATCCCTGATAGCTCCCTCCAGTAACCAGAGGCATCTTGTCTGTGTTCCATGAATGCACACTCACTGAAGACCCTTTACTCCAGAATGAACTGGGAAGAGAGCTGTGAACTCCTTGTTTCATATTGTGTTCTGGTTAATGTCTTTAACCTCTTTTGTTAACATAAAGGAATATAATTAAAAAAATCTGTTATGTTCAAGCTCACAACTCAGACTGATGTGGCAGTTTCTCAGTTCTCCTTCAAACAGTAAAACAGAGTAAGATGTGTAGTCAGTGTTTGTGTGTGTGTTCATCCATGTGTTTGTATAGGTACACTAGCCTGTCTGTGGACATGCAGAGGCCAGAGGTTTCTGTGGCTTCCTTTATTGAATCCCACTTTATTTTTTGAGAGAGGGCTGGTCACTGAACCAGAGGCTCACCCTTTTGCCCCCTCCTTCGGCGTGGGTTGACTGGCTGTCAGCAGGCCCCTGGGATTTTCCCTGCACTGCACTCTTACCACTAGGTGCCTAAAGCACCAGGCATACTGCAGATGCTGGGGGCAGAAACTCAGGACTGTTTGAGCAGAGGTACTTTATCCAGTGTGTCTTCTCACTAGACTCAGGGGTTGGCTGTTTCCAGTCCAGGAATTACCTCCTGGCAAAGAAACCATGTGTTCTTATATTTGGACAGGCAAGTCTTATAAAACATCCCACGAACATTTATATGTATTTCCACATGGAATTCAGATGAAACAGTATTATAATTTTACTACCATCAATAAGAACTCATTCTGACTGGCTCTAAAGCCAGTTCAATTTTTTTCTTTCAGCCTGCTTCCCCCAACCCCACTTTAGTTTTTCTTTTTTTTTTATTAATTACACTTTATTAATTTTGTATCCCCCCATAAGCCCCTCTGTCCTTCCCTCCCGATCCCACCCTCCCTCCCCTTTCTGCATGCATGCCACTCCCCAAGTCCACTGATAGGGGAGGTTCTCCTCTTCTTTCTGATCTTAGTCTATCAGTTCTCATCAGGAGTGGCTGCATTGTCCTCTACCATGGCCTGGTAAGGCTGCTCCCCCCCCTCAGGGGGGAGTGATCAAGGAGCAGGCCAATCAGATTATGTCAGAGGCAGTCCCTCTTCCCATTACTATGTAACCTACTTGGACACTGAACTGCCATGGGCTACACCTGTGCAGGGGTTCCAGGACATCTCCACGAATAGTCCTTGGTTGGAGTATGATTTTCTGGGAAGTTCCCTGTGTTCAAATTATCTTGTTCTATGCTCTCCTTGTGGAGTTCCCGTCCCCTCCAGCTCTTACTATTTCCC